TGTTAACAGCCGTCGTTGCACTACAACAAACTTACTCTGAGGCATACTTTGCCATGGCTTGTGGATATTAGTCTTTATTTATGCTCTCTATCTTCCCGAATAGGCATTGTGTTGGTAGTTTGCTACCAGAAGAAAGAGGCTGTTAGTCTCTCAGTAATGACAATAAGTAAAATTACCATTCGCAAGATCCTGGTGTGAAACGGGATGCAGAGGTTGCGGAAAAAGTGCTTGTGTATCAGGTGTTGCTTGTACTTTGCCGCATAAAGATTATTACTTGTGGTGGGGCATAATTTACAGGAGGCATTGACATTTTGTTGATGTCGGCTTCAAATGTACTGAAATTGTATGGTGATAGAAATTACATGGACGCTCTCGGTGTGATTCCCCCCTTCACCGTCGTGTCTCGGCTGAGCATAAGTTATCATCCCAAGCCTGACTACCTTCTCTTCTTGTATTCCCTGAACGTCAAGTTAAGTGCACTTGAAGCACGAAATATTATTTACTCGTATACGTGCCTTATACACTAAATATGACGCCGAATTGCAATCCCAAATTGAAACGTGCCACGATTTGAAGACATTATTAGTAAGGTGCCATGCATGCAACACTTTGTGAAGTAATCGTTGAACCGCTTTATAAAAAGAGCCGAGGGCCTCACGAATCGACATCAGCCAAAGATATTCAAATTCTTGACATACGAGCGGGCTTACAAACAATTCTTGAGTTGAGCGTATTTACCACATACAGCCTGACAATGAATGCTTGGGACGGCGAAAAAAATGAGAGCAAATCCACATAGGGAATGATGTTCAGTTGGGCGAAGCATGCGTCCATGCGTCCATTAGTGCGTGTGTTCTTCTGTTAATCCGTTCATCCGTCTGTCTGTTTGTCTGTACATCCATCCATACCTTCGTCCACGCGTCCATAATCTATCTGTCTGGCCGTCCGTCTGTCCGTCCATCTGTCTGTCTGTCCGTACATCAATTGAACACATGTACTGCGATCTCGAATCTTTTCACCATATATGCATCATATACAAGTACCACCATCCAGTGCACATTCTGAGGTTTAAACGAGAAGTGGCTACCACGACTAGAAACGACATGGTACATATGACCCGTGGCGTAAGAAGCTTCACCCCTAAAAAAGTTGCATGAAACAGCTTGACAATGCTTCACGTCCCATATTCACTCTCGCTAGACAATGGTCATAGCAAACTAAAATAAAACACACATATAACGAGCAAGGCACATGATAATAAATTAAAAACATTTCTCTAAAAATGGAATATATTATGCACATATCTCACAGAACCTATTGAAACTAAATGTATCAAAGAGAATATTCACAATTTCTTGATTCTCAGTTATTTTGAAGTCATTTCAAGTATTTACCAACAATAACAGAATGCTTGAAAACTATACTCAGTTTGTGGCCTCCGAACGAATCAGTCATAGTCTCGGCTTAGGTGCATATTAGGATTTGGTTTCAAATTAGCTAAACAGCGCAAATAACTTCAAATTTTATTGACATCAGGCCTAATGGAAATCAATTGGAAGTGTTCAGAGAGGTGTTTCATTTTGTTCACCGATTAGAACGCTTTCTCTTTTTCTTCCCTATATTAGCGTGCCGAAACTTACGCAGGGAGGTGGATGACATGGCACAAGATGCCCCTTTGTTAGCACGTGTCATGACTTGGAGTAGACCCTTTTTTTTCTTCGAACACTGAGCTTACTACGATCTAGCATTCGAGCATGCGGGGGCATCACATGGCGGGCATTCTGAGTATACCGTTAGCGTTAAGCAAAGTCAGTGGCAATGGACAATAAACTTTAGGTTTTGGCGTGGTCAATTGAGTCCATGACATGAGTTGTCGAGAGAAGAAGCAATACTTCTACACTGACTGCACTCTGTCAGTAAGTTTCAGGCCACATGCTTCGCTGCAGTGTATGTCCCGCATTTTTTAAGAACCTCAAATACCGATTGCCAGTGATGTCTGACTAGGCGGAGTTTGCGTTGCATGCCTTTTTATGCAAATGAAATGACTCCTATGCCAGGTTAACATTGTTTTGTGAGTGTGCAAAGAAAAGCAATATTCTTCTTTGCTAGATGACAGTAATAAGTAAGTTATTTAAAAAAAACGCGTGTTGACCCAAAACGCTGAGGTGGGAAGCTTGCTCGGTAGTTCCTAAAATAAGTGCGAAATATACTGCAACCACAAGTATGAACCGTCATTTACTCTAACATTTTTTAACTTGGAAGTGATAGGTAATTTAAAAATTCCCAATTTCTGACCGCAGTAAATTTGCAAACGAGTCCTGTCATTCTTAGTTGTTCATTTTCACTATACCTTGTTGATTGTAACTTGTCTCAGTACTCTGGCGTTTTCTATATGCGTGGGTTGTGCAGCATGCGTACCTTTGATTCGCTCCCCATTTATATATTACTTGTGACTTCATATATTTGCGATAATGTCTGCGTTTGATGTATTATATTTGAATTTGCATTCAATCTCTGATTGCATTCATCATTACTGTCGGGATGACTGCATTGCGTATTGATTCAACTTTGCTGACATTATGGGGCACCAGCGCATTCATGTATCATCATTTTTTTTACTCAAACATGTATTGCACGTGACACTCTAGTGCTGTTGGAAAGCCGGGCATAAAAATTGGTAGTGTTTTTTACGACAATAAATCAAGCCATATAAATCACGAAGAAGTCAACTGAACTAATGGATTGTTTCTTTTACTGCGACAAAATCCAAAAAGCGGTAATGCTCTTTTCTCAGTCTGAAGTCAGTATGTCTATAGAACAAAAATGTTTCGGGTGGTGTCGAAGAAAGCAAGGAAGGGGCAATCAATGTTTCTCATGACAAGTAGAAAAAAAGGCGGCAAGGCCAAACTTTGTGTTCAGCCTTCAGGTAGAACTGTATGTTATTTGCGAAATAATACCACTCCTCCGTGATAATGGGGAGGCGTTCACTGAAGCAGAGCCGGAAAAGAAGCCCTTTGGTTGATGTTCCTTTTTTTCCTTCGTTGCAGTCTGGCATCATGTCATTGTATGGCCTGGAAATGCCGCAAGCACTTGAGTTGTCGAAGTGACAGCGCACTGTTTAGTGCTGTAGAGTCTGAAATCGATGAAAATGTTTTTTTCGGCGACAGTGAAAGGGCGACATCCGCTGTTATTGTTACTGTTCCGGTGAATGTTTTCTCAAAGAATTAGTTATACCTGTGCATTTTCTAAAAAAATTGTTGGTGAGTTGAAGACAGTGCAGTTTCAAGTCACATTCTACTAAATATTTATCGCGATCTTGTACCAACTAGCCTTCCCAAGTTTATTAGATGTTTCAAAAAACTTCACATTATAGCAAAAAGCACGATTCATTTTAACCAAGATGGTGACATTATTGATTTAATCTAACTCTCCCGCTCACAAGTAAGCCAGTATATCATTGCAGCTCAGATTATCATTGAAACTCTTGAAAAAAGGTAGTAGTACTTGGTAAACTTGATATTTGATACAACACAGTAAGCTCTGTAAGTAACGGCTGGGAGGTAACAGTTACTACCTTTGATGATACTACCAGCATTTAAAACTGTTACTACTGAAGCTGTTACTAATCAAGGGTAGTAACTTTTAAAGGTTTCAAGAAAAGAGTAGTAACCAATTACCCTATTCATTTTGCCACAGTATATCTTCATCGCTAATGTTAGTTATTTAGTGTATCATTACTACACAGCTTTGGAGAATCTACCCAAGTTTGCTCGCTACACTACAGTGCGTAGTAAGCGTGGAGTATATATAGCCCATACATTGAAGATGCACGTCTGGCATAATGGAGAACTTTTGCTTCAAGATGATTTATAAGGACTGTGAGCCTAGAGAACCATATCATACTACTTGGTTACGTGCGTTTGGAACCGTAACGTAAGATTTTACTAAGCCTTAACAAAAACATATGTTATATCTATTTATTATAAAAAGGCCACCAAATTAATTATGACAGTGGCTAAAACAAGATACCGAACTCATTAACATAGTGCCGGTACATTTTAATGTTTCAGACTTCTAATGTATCAGCGGGTAAAAGGTGAGAATCATTTGGGGGGTTTTATGCGCTAAAGCAATTACAATATTTAGAGACACACCGCAGTGAAGGCCTCCACATTCTTTGAGACCATCTGGTTAATTTTAATGCGTCTGTCTTGTTAATTTGCTGAAATTTAGTCAGTTTTCTTGTAAATGGAGCTAGTGCAACGCCTCTTGAACTTGCTCATGGTTCATTACCTTTTGCTTCTCCGTTTTGACAATATTAGAATGACGCTTACAGGTCTCGGTTGCGTAATTTAAAACAATGTTTTTGTTGATCCATAATTACCTTCTGTGTCTTTTTTTTTCATTTAAAATCATACTTCGGGACGATTCCTCTCATAAATTCTGACACTAGATATCACCTACTATTTTGGCTTAGACAGTCATTAGCCGGGCAGCAAAAAGGTAGTAACAATGCAAGAAAGTTAGTGACGGTGGCAGTTACTCCCTCTTTCATTGCAGTTACTGTTTACCGAGGTAGGTAGTATACCGGTGGCAAAAAGTTAGTAATGGTTCAAGAAATGTAGTGGTAGTAAGCACTGCCCTACTGAAAATTCCTACATGTACAGGACCTGTACATACGATGTTATTGGATACGGGGCATACAGGTGTCACGGGTCATACGGGTGGTACGGGTCATGCGGGTGGTGCGGGTCATGCGGGTGGTGCGGGTCATGCGGGTGGTGCGGGTCATACAGGTGGTATAAGTGTAATAAATGTATATGGGTATTACAGGTTATGCAGGTGATATGGGTCGGATTAGCTATTTGGGTCAAAATTAACATGCAGTAAAAGAATGTATACATTAAGAAAGGCATGCTAGTTCATGAAGCACACAGTAAAATAAACAATGTAATGTAGGTATGCTGCAATGATATCAAATAAACACGATCAGGCTAGAGTAATGTTTTGACGACTCATTTATTTAGGTCGTTCAACATTTCAGCAATGAATCTGTTCATTTTTCTTAACCTCTCCATTGGTGCCGTTTCACTAGGTCTCCCAGCAATGTACTTGCTGAAGGCATCTGTAAAAATGAGCAGGAATATGTAGCAATTAGGGACTTACTGGTTCATATAAATGATAAATTTTATTGTCCCTAAATTCAGCAAAATATACTAAGCATGAAACACTTACTTCCGACTGCCTCCAATTTCTTAGGCGTGAGTGCCCTCCTGGGTGGTGCCTGGTTTTCTGAGCGCACATAGCGCCGACAAGGGGCTCCTGTGATGCTCCTGTTGTGGAGGGCACTCACACCCCACAGAAGCTTGGTCGCCTCCTTACAGAACAAGCTGTCTCTCGGACGCGAAAGCAGCCATGCCCATTTTTCCTGCTCCAGGAATATGCCGTTTCCTAGGTGAATCTGCGCGAAAAAAATGTGGAATCATAATAAAAGACTCAAGAGATATCTTGTTTTTGAAAATGTTATTTGCGCTCTTTGGTCGTGCGAGTATAGTTTTGCTGGTATGTATTCAAATAGTTCTGATGAATCTTACAATTCACTTCTGCAACTGCATGCCATCTTGTATAACACTGGCATACTAAACGTTATCCAAATATTCTTTTTCTAAAGCAAATACAGTTCACAGAATGTATGTAAGTCTACAGGTGCATATAGTGCTCATTAATGGCAATACTACACCAGCCTTCACAAGGAGAATCATTAATTTTTAGATACTAAAAGACTGGGCAAAAAGTGGGGTGGCATAGTAAGTTAGAAAAACATCAACACAATCCCTATTTAGAAATTTTACACTAATGTGGCTCCAGCGAAACAAAAAAGCATTCGTTTCAATGATCAATGAAAAGCAAATCACATACATCATTGCTGTCTTTACGTCTCACCTGAACAGTTTGTGAGAAGCTGTAAGACATTTTAAGAAAAAAGCATATTTACAATTTTGAGTGCTCTAGATATGTGTGAAAGTTAAATTAACAACTATGTAACATATCTTACAGTTGTGTTACAGTTGTTAGTAATGTTGAGTCCATAATATTCTACTAAAGACCACCAGACACCCTAAAAGGCACTTAGAGCTGGCACTGACAAAAAGTGCTCTGGCACATTGCAGATAAAAATTTCTTTTGTCAACTCCAATAATGAGGAACTCAGGAATCAAAAAGACAGAGCCTCAATTCATTCCCCTTTTTCCTGACATTAGGACTTGTCACAAAAATATTTACGAAGCTTTTACTGAATGCCGTGACATTCCAAAAAAGGGTAATGCAGAAGATTGCACTGGTCATTCGTGAAATAACCTCCTGAATGTCTAAATTCACCAGTTCATAATTTACAAAATTATCCGTAGTAGATGAATAAACTAAGCATAAACATACAAAGAAGTGAAAGTGCAATGCAAGTTGCATAACCATGTATTCAACCCAGTAGTGAAAGTATTGCACTGAATAAACATAAATTTACAAAAAGTAGAGCTACTTCATCGTTTAACTGAATAAGGGCATGCACACAGAGACGGACACTACAAGAAGAAAATGCACACAACATAAGCGGTGTTCAAGTGTCTGTATGTGCCCTTATTCCGTTAAAAGATGAACGAATACCAACTAACCTAACTATCCAAGCTACTGTAAAGCTACTTACTTGATTGTCCACCTGGAAAAACAGCGGCAGTTCATCACTGGCACCCAAACCCTTAAGCATCATTTCCAAAACTTTTTTTTTATTTTCAGACACAACATAACTATCAGCCCTCATTTGTGCTTTGTTCAGCCCAATAACAGCTGCGGAAACTTTTAACCCTATTGTTTTTCCAGCTTATGCTCCATAAATTGTTAAAAGCCCAATCACTGAGCTGCACAACGAACTGATCAGTGTTCTACATTGTGTTATTAAAACAACCTAATTTTAATCCCACTTAAAATTAGGTTCATGGTTTATACAGTTTCTAAAACAAAGCTCCCTTTTAATTAACTATCACAATTTAATTCCTGCAATTCGGTGTGTTTTTTAGGCCAAAAACTTGAGCCTAACGTGAAGTTTACCCATCATATTGCTTATGCTAAACAAAAAACTGCCTTCGGTGTACGAGCCCTCATTAAATCTTCTTTATTTATCTCCTGTGATGCCTTATTGTTGCCCTGCTTTCATAAACAGTCAAATCACCTAGCATTATTACATGGGCAAATATGCATAACAATAATCTTTTGCCAATAGAGAACATTCAGAATACACATAATTCAGGACATACAGGAGAACATTCAATTCAGGAGAACATTCAGGAGAACATTCAGGACATACACATTATTACCAACAGTTCTTTTCACTCTAATGCTGCTCACCTTGTCTAGGCTAACTTCATACTACTTGCATCTGACTTGTTATCACTTAATCATAACGGTATTCAAACTGGCTTTTGTGTGAACTGAGTTATATAAAATGTTCAAAAATAATATTTGTGCAAAGTTTGCCCATAATTACAACTTCCTTACACCTAAACATACATTAACTATGGCAGAATGACATCCTACTTTACAGTGATTAAATTAGAGAACTTACTCCACACACTTGAATTTCATCTCCTAAAAATAGCTTGTCAAGAATGTTTGTTAATGCAAAAAGCATATGCGATTAGTAGCTTAAAAATCTTTGTAAATTTACATTTAGGTTTTATGGTGAGTAAAGCTACGTGTACAACTATTATTATGTTGAATTCGACTGAGAGATCCAGAACAGCCGCCCAAGTCTTGAAGCGAGCACACGGCTTACACCGATTTTAGATACTGTCAGTTGGGAAAGCCCGCTATGGAGGCGGCACCGACTCGTACACGCTCAGAGGGGCGCGGTGCTAACGTAGCTTTGAGAACGAGCTACCGCTGGCTTCCCGCGGCAGCGTTGAATTTGTTTTTTCCTTTTAGTTTGCTTGCTCGGATTACAGAGGCGGGAGCTTGAAGGTTAGATTTCTGTCACGCAAATCGTATTTAACATGGTACACAACAATCAAGCAAGCTTGAGTGAATTAGAAGTTTAACACAGTAAACATGCTGACATTCAGTGCGCCGGGCTGTCTAAGTGGCTATGCCTATGAGGAAAACACTTGTGATCAGCAGTACTTCTTCAAACCCCCCAATTACCCTGCAGTTCTCAAGGACTGAACAGCTGCTATTCCATGAAAAGTCTTGCAGGTAATGGTCAAAACATACATAAATAATCATACATTTCTTAGGTACAGGCCCGAACCTTATTTATCACTAAGTAGTACAGTCGAGCCCACATATAACGGCCCCACTTAAAACGAACTTTCGCTTCAAACGAACACTATCCGCGTGACCATGAAAATATATATTGGTTCAACGGCACAAAATCGCACTTACAACAAACGTCTCCGAGCGCCGCTGATCGGTTACAGCGAACAGTCAGCGGTCTCCCGACTTCCCGGGAAACCAATTTCGACCACCGATCAGGCATCGGCAAGGTCCCTATACATTCTTATTTTTAAACGCTGACCCTGCCCCCGCGAGCCTCTAGTTGCTGCTCCCCAACCCATGAAGAAAGGAAAGTGCCGACTGTTTTTTGTTATGCACCCCTCCGTCCTTTGTCCCCCCGCTACCCTGAGCCAGACGAGGCCCGCGTTTTCACACTGCCACCGATCTTTCGAAGACCGGTCGGCCATCTACCCCGTTTTTAATCGCTGGTCCTGTCGTTGGCATCGCCGGCCTGGAGTGACCAGACCATTTGCCAACATCGTCGGCCACCGACTGTATCCGATAGTCTGCGTCTAGTGCACGGGCGTACGCTACCCCACCGACTCTGATATTTTGTGATTCGTTTCGTGTCAAGGACTTGTTCTCGCTCGCTTACCACTCGACTCGGCATGCCTTCCGCTCACGTGCGGAAGCACGAAAACGGCTGTTAATTTGCGCGGGACGAACAGCGAAATATCGAAGTTTGTGAGGCCACGCAAACTCGCCGACGCAACAAAAAATTTTTTGACCACGGCTGCCGATTGTTCGAACACCCCCGCGCACTGATCCAGGCGGCCATGCTTTGACTTCTGCGCGCGCAGGCACTCTTTCCAAGTTTTTCTACGTGCGAGTTTCGTAACCTATCAAGCAAGCTACCCAACCTGCCTCCTTCTCATGCGTTTTGGTTTTCAAGGTCGCCCTTCCGCCACATCCTCTCCTCTCTTGTCGCAATTTGGAAACTAATTTCCTGCTGTTTCACATGCAGAGGTAGCAGACGACGCTCCTTCACCAATCTCAAAGCGACAGCAGCGCCAGCTCCACCGGATACAAGAGGGGGCAGTCCTCGCGGCTGCGACAGCGCGTGCTTACCCAACTGACAGTATCTAAAAACGTCTTACACCAAGCCAAATCTGCCACTGGAACACATGAATGCTGTGCATGGGGTGTCCAGAAGCTGTTTATGCTTACGACACTTAAACCGGCTCCTGAACTTTTTCGACGTAGCCGATGATTTTCGGGCATCTGCACAGCCGGTCGGGCAACTTGTTCTTAAAATTCACTTCCACACACGGTTTGTGGTCGCTGCTGCTACAACTGTCAAAACTTAACCGCCAGTTCATTCAGCAAAGTCAAAGGATGCCATTTTTAAAATGTAAAGATATTCATAGGGTGATGAGACACCACCTAAAAAAACGTTGAAGACAACCTTATTCCCCGATCGTACCAAAAATGACAGCCCTGCATTGCCGGAGTTCCAAAAAAATCTACCTTTGCCAGATGAAACAACATGGAAGCCCTATTGCGGAGTGGTTTGCTCCGAATCTGCCAGTAGAAAGCGGGAAATTGCTCCGAATTGACCAGGGGAACCCGGCAAGAAAATTTTTATCCTGCTCAACCAGTGCGATTCGACATTGACAGATGGTCACACTGCATTTGTTCAACTTTAAAATACTTGTCTACATACCGTATTTACTCGATTCTACCGCGCCCTCGATTGTAACGCGCACACGATTTCCACCGCGAAAAAAAAAAAAACGTAAGACATCGATTGCAACGCGCACCCCCCCCTTTTTTTTTTTGCTGGCCCGCACGATCACACCACTCGAAAAAATGATTCCTTTCGGGATTGTCTTCCATTTAAATATGAAGTACGGGCAAAGCTAGTGCCCATCTGACGTGTAACAGAGCATTGCCGTCACTGTAGTTTTACCGTGGACCGATGTCAGCACGCCAACTTGCTTCGCCCCCTTCTTCTCGACAGTTGTGGTGCCAGGCATGTCGAAGTAAAGAGGCGTCTGATCGGCATTCCAGATTTGCCCAAGCGGGTAGCCGTTGTTGCGCCGCAAGTTTAGGACGAACCTCTGAAAACTGTAAAGCTTTTCATCGTACTTCTCCGCAAAAGTTTTCGCATATGCATGTTCCCCTTCGGAGGGAAGAGCCTTTCCTCTTCATATAGTTGATTAGCCAGCTCGCTTTAAACTGGCTCCGCATTAGACTTTTTTCTAAGACTAATTGCATAGCCCGCACTTGGAGCAGTTCTGTCGTCACGGGCCGCTGGGCCGCTCGCTCCTCAAGCACATACTCGCGGAGCAGCTCTTCAATTTGCGGAAACCGACCCTGCTGTGGTTCACTGAAGCCTTTGCGTGAAGCTTTGCTGTCGACAATCTTCTGCTTTTGTTTCCGCCAGTCCCGCACGCACGTTTCGGGAACGACCGCGATGCGGCCCGATTTCCGTCCGTTTCTGCACACGCGATGACTTTTCTTTTAAAAGCGGCATCGTGGTGCACTCGAGTTTTTGGAGTCGGCCCTTCCACGTCGTCGATGCTAATGCACTACTAGATGACGAACTCGTCAGCACACGTACGAAGTGCCGCACATGGTAAACACATAGGCAGAAATAGACGACGCACCATGCCGACGCACGTAGGGGGCGGCCATTTTGGATTTGCGATGGCAATAGATTGACCGTAATTTTTTTGTTCGTACTCGATTCTAACGTGCATGCGATTTATGAACTCGCTTTACCGGAAAAAAAGTGCGCGTTAGATTTGAGTAATTACGGTACCACTAACAATGACTAGATGTATATTGATTAAATAAACAAACTGAAAATGTACAGGAGGCTAGCCTGACAATATAACCCCTAAATCGGATTGAAAAAAAAACAACAACAAAGAAACAGCCATTTCAATTATAAAGTACACACCTGGCTGGTAGGTTCTTGAGAACCACTTGAAGTGGTTCCAGGGTGTGGTACCGGTGGCATCAATGGGCATGGCTGCATCCGTGGCTGCTCTGAAGAAGGCGACGGAGGCTCTGGTAGCAATAAGTGCTGCGGCGGTGGCAAAGGCAGCGTTGCTGACCACCCTTGTGGAGACAACGGCGAGCACGGCCATAGTGGTGGTGGCGACGGTGGCGATGGCTGCATGAACTGCAACGGCCTTGCCTGAAAATGCAAAAAAAAAAAATCTAAATTACACTTTTGAAGCATACAGCTTTCTTTTTGCAAGTTGAATCGAATTTGTTTTTGTCAGTTTTATAATTGTATCTAACTTGTCTAAACTCACTCCATTATGCTTTTGTCCCTTTGTTTTTGGTGCAATACAGTGAAATCTCATTAACTCAAACATGCTTAATTAACAAATAACAATTCAGGGAACAGTGACAGCTCAATGTATGTCATCTAAAACGACAGTATTATCAACAGCAGTGCCCTACTTACCGAGAAATTGAGGTAAATGCACGGGAACAAATGCGCCGCAGTAGGACGTTCGCGAAATGATCCTTATGACGTCAGACAAACTGCCTACAATTAATCACTGGTAATCAAACTAGCTCACTAAATAAAGAACCTTCCAAGTATCAAAAGACGTAAAAAAATGCTGCTTGTTGAGTTGTTTCTCATGAAAAAAAGAACCGCCGGGAGTTACAATAGAGAATAGCGCAAGTGGTTAGAAAATTCAACTTTTTCCTGGTTAAACTAGACAGGCCGTGCCATCTTTAGCCAAAACATGTCTGCCATTTCGGAGCCTATTGTAGGAAACTGATCGATGGCCGCTGTTGCTGATGCGGCTCCTGGTGCTTTAGTTTCGCTAGTAGTGTCGGCGACCGTACAATAAAAAGCCGGGCAACGTTGTGCACGGCAACAGTGACGTGAGACTTTCCGCTTCTTGAGGCGGGTAAATTAAAGTGCACTAGCTGATACAGACCACTAAAACACGATTTTATTTCAAAATAAGCACTTCCTTGGCACAAAAGGCTTCTGGACCGGTAATCCAACAATAAAGGTCGACAACTTTGATTCTCCAGCTCGCACATTTGCCTCAACTGTACTGCTGACATCACTTCAAGTCGACCTATGAGAAGTCTCCGTTAACAAAACATGGCAGCACAGCCATGTTTGCCAAGTCATAGTTGAGTGAGGTTTGTAGTACCATACTGGTTCGATTGTGCCACCATAAAGATATTTCCTCTTTCATAAGTTGTGCAGCAATGTGTGATGATGCACACGGTTGACTGAATATTGCATCGAAATGTTTTGAAATCGGCATGTCTAATCATTACTGAAGCAGGAAAATAACAACTGGGCACAGCTTCAATCCCCTTCACGGCTGCTTTAAAACAACAGATAACGAAAATCTTCCTTTTCCTTTAAGTCGATTGTATTGACCCGCCACGACTCCCAACAGCTTTCTGCACTCCCAGTTGTTTCGCAAGTGCCTCCGGGATAGGCAACCTTAGAACGAGCAATGACATCATGTGACGTCGTGATGACACGACCAATTTGGGAAACTTATTTCTGATGCCACGACGATGGCATCACAAGTTATTATTTGTCACTTTTGTTGGTGCTGACGGCCACTTTTCGCACTTGATGAAGCATCTTAATGCGTTGTCATAAGCTCATACCTTCTCTTGAATGCTCCTGTGGGTGGCCTCATGTTCATAGGCGCCATGATTAGTAGATGTCCTGCATTGGTGGCCACAACAGGAATGGCTGGCCAATGTTTCTGTAAGAGAGCAAATGTGAAAAATAAACAGCGCACACTTCTTAATTGCATCCTGAACGAAGCATTACTTTTTCAGAACTTCAATATATTACAACATGATTAATACAAACATAATTATGTTGTATTTGCTCAAAGCTACACCAGCGCGTCAGGCTGATATTTTGCCCGATTTTACCGGAGTGCTTTTTGCTAAAATCCTCGGGTGCCATAAAACTCTTTCATACTCTGAAGTGCTCCAATCACATTGCCTTACCAATTTACTCTCTAGAAAACGTGTTATAAACAAAAGGAAATTAATCCAATGCATAGTGTAGTATACATTCTACTCAAAAAGATGGGTGAAGTTGAGATATTGACTGAAGCCTGTTAGGGTGAGAACATGATAAATTAATGACACCAACCATAAAAAGGAATACAAATAAGACATTTCAGCTCTCATGATGGGAGTCTTGTTCAGAGTGACAACTAGACGGAGTGAAATTATGCTTATGAGGACTTCAAAAGTGACTCAAAACCGCGAGTGTAGATAAGAATGAAGGTTCCATGTGTTATCAATGGTTCCATGTGTTATGTGTATCCATTGTTTAAATCAGCATTGATTGCAAGTGGTGTCCTGAAGAGTTTTTTTTTTCTAAGCTTATGCTGTTATGCTAATCTATTTTATTGCTCTCAAGTTTTCAGGGTGTTTTGCCATTGATTGATATGTGGGGTTTAACGTCCCAAAACCACTATATGATTATGAGAGGCGCCGTAGTGGAGGGCTTCGGAAATTTAGACCACCTGGAGTTCTTTAACGTGCACCCAAATCTGAGCACACGGGCCTACAACATTTCCGCCTCCATCGGAAATGCAGCCGCCGCAGCCGGGATTCCAACCCGCGCCCTGCGGGTTAGCAGCCGAGTACCTCGTAATGTTCCTCGTAATGTTC